ATATATGTAGGCGCAGGCGGTAGCTCTACTAGAGTTTAGCCGGTTGGCGATTCCCTGTGTTAATTCTACGACTTCTCTCATCTGATTTTGTCGTGCCGACGACGAAGAGTGCAGTGCCAATCAGTTTCCTCTTACCCGACGTCGAGGGGTTTCTCTCCTTCGACTTTCTCGTCCGTCGTTCCTCTTCCTGACGCATTCAGGCCTTCGATTAGGCCCGACATCAAAGGGCTTCCGTCGGAGTTGTGCCCGACGACGAAGGTCTCTTTTGTTTTCGTTGTTCTCGCTCTGCTACTTACCAATTTGTGCCTTCAATTTGGCCCGACGCTCGCAGTCTTCCTTCCTCGGGTCGCACTGCTCTGCCCGACAGAAAGTGAAGTTTGCTCGCCTTTTTCTAGTAGCTCGCCAACCGTTCTAGAGATGGCCTCGACGATGTGTTTCTATGTGAATGCACTTTCCGGCAACTTTCTTATTCCTACTCGTGCTCCTCTTTCAGGTTCAGAGCATGGTTTTCATATTGACAAGTCCTGCAATGTTCCTCAATCTTTCCACGATGCTCTTGAAGGTGGTAGTGATCACACTTTCATTAAAAAGCTTGACAAAAAAATAGGAAGTCTGCTTTTATTCTCACTGAGGTTGAAACCAGTACTATCGCTTCCTTTTGGCTTTTTGCTTTAGTGGGGAAATTTCTTTATGGTCACCCAAAATTAGAGATCATAAGGAAAGAGTTTAATGCTATGAAGCTATTGGGTAGTTGAAATATTAGCTTACTTGATAGTCAATATATACTTATTCAGTTATCTCACGTTGTCGATTACACTCGCATTTTTTCTCAAAAAGTTATCAAGATCGACAACCTTTTTACGGGAATTCTCAAGTGGACTGTCGATTTTGATCTAAAAACAGAGTCCCCTATCATTCATGTTTGGATAAAGTTTCTGGGATTAAAATTACACCTGTTCATGGGGTTAAAATTACATATGTTCAACTTGAAAATTCTCTACTCCTTAGCAACTGCTTACGGTAAGCCTCTCAAGGTTGATAGTCCTACGCTTGCTGTCACCAGACTCTCTGTGGCTTGTGTGTTAGTTGAGAGGGATATCACTCAATCAGCTCCGGATTGGAACCACTCACAATGGATATTGACAAAATGTTGAAATAGAACCACACTCTTCTTATTGCTCTCATTGTAGTATGTTTGACCACAATTCTACCATTTGCTATCGCTTGCATTCTCATCTAAGGCCGAATATCGTTAAATATCAACCACCTACCATCTCTGCCAAGAAGGTGCAACCCGATCCTCCTTCCAACACCGCAGCTACTAGCATTTCGACATTTATTTCTCTTATAATTCATGAACATTGGCGTAATGTAGAGTAAAAATGGCCTTGACAAATTTTATGCTTTTTATATAATTATATTTATTCGTGCTTGGTACCTGGAAAGCGCAAGAACACTATCCAGTGTACTCATGAAGTGGGCATAGTTTTCAGCGAAAACCAATGTCTCAATGTCAGTGCACGCGATGTTCCAAAATGGTGGCGCTAAACAGCATATTTAACTATTTGGCATAAACTTTATTGATTAAATCTATGTTTTACTTGAACAAAATTTTGATAAATTGCAGGGCGAAGGTTTCCTGAGATTGTGATTGCGGAAGAAGAAGGGTGGAATAAGTGTATTGAAGGTTCAAATGCTGTTGTAAACTTGGCTGGAATGCCCATAAGTACTAGATGGTCATCTGAGGTTAGTTGATGTTAGGTATCCATAATTTATTTATTTTTAAACATTATCTAAAATTTTAGTGATTTTGTTGTTTTGATTGAGAGCATCCTCCTACCTTCATTTTCTTTGTCTGGTAGGTCAAGAAGGAAATTAAGCAAAGCCGAGTCAAAGTTACTTCTAAGGTCTCTAACCATTTTGCTTAATGAATTAGCTCTTTTTTTATTTTTCCAATTGGAGAATTCTCAAGATCTGACATTCAGCCATTGTGGAAGGTGGTTGATCTGATTAATAAGATGAATTCCAGTACACGGCCTTCTGTTCTGATCAGCGCAACAGCAATTGGCTATTATGGTACGCCTTTTGCAAACTATGTAATTTCTATCTTTAGAGAAAATGCTGCTCTCTCTTTATCTTTCAAAAATGCTGCTGTCTCTCTTTATCTTTCAACTTCCTAATCAAGGTGTTATTTTCTACTAATGATAGCGAATTTATTTTGTGTCAATTTTATCCATTTTAAGGGGCTCTTTGGCTGCAAGCATTTAGTAATCATGTATTTAGAGAATGCAATGCAAAGTAAATGCAAAGCAAATACATTCAATTTCAATTTTTTTAGGATTGTTTGGTTGGCTATGAAATAAAGGTAGGGAAACAATTGTGTTTATTTAGTTATAAAATAACTATTGAAAATTTTAGTCTATTTAAATTTTAAATGTATTAATGCAATATCCTTTTATTAGTAAAAAACTATCACAGATAAATTTAAAAAACACAGTAATTTATGTTTGTTTTTTCAGAGTTGTTTGAAGAGCTCTCACAGTCCCTTTAATAGATATTATCTGTAGCAGCTCTTGAATCTCTCCCTAAGAACTGAATTTAAAATTGTCTCTTTCATTTGCATCCCTTCATCCTTGAAACATTCCGATACCTTAGCACGCATCTTTCTTCTGTGGTTGTTGTGGAATATACTCATAGTGCAATGGTGAAAGGTTGGTAATTTTTTATTTTGTAGTCAAAAGTGATTTTGGTGAATAGATAAGCGGTCAATGGAGGGGGAGTCGGCAGTCGGGAAATGATTGTGTAAAACCTGTAACATTTTTCAGCTGAATTGGGACCGTCAATGGAGGGGGAGTTGGTAGTCGGAGAGTGATTGTGTAAAACCTGTAATTGTTTTCTAACTGAATTGGGATGGTCCAACTGAATTGACTCAACTCAATTTCTTTCCCAGGACCTCAGGTTCCCCTTTTAAGGTTGAGTTTGGGAGAGGTGCAAATGAACACAAGAGGACTGAGAATTGAGGTTACAACTGATGATGGAACCTTGTATGTAATGGCCTTATCTACTCGATTATGGCTATAATAAACTCAACGTAGAGGAAACTGAGTTGGAGAAGAGGGAATGAATTAAGTTTGGAGGTCTCTCCTTGCATCATCGTCATCTTTATCTTAATGGACACAAGAAGGTAAACTCTAAACCTAAAGCATTACGGTTTTTATTTAAGATTCCTTTGATATGAATAGAGATTAGTTTGCAAATATGACCAATTGATATTATGATTTTCTTTTTTCTTCTACTAGAAAATAAACCTAAATTAATTTTGATATTTATATTATAATGGTAAGATTTTGACATGCGGGACATTTTCTATTGCAAATATGATCAAGGCTTATTGTTTTCAGTAGTGCCCAAAAATTATGATTATAGGGTCATAGGGTCGAAGGATCATTTTTGGATGATCGTCTTGTTGGGTATTTTGTGGTGGTAATAAAATTCTTAGAAGTTCTCTTGTAAGGTTTAGATGTAGCATTTCCTCTGAGCTTTAGGGTCTGTCTGGGATAGTTGCAGCTTTTTTAAAAGCTTCTGTGCAGCAGGTGCTAATTCGAAACAATTCCATACTTTTGCTTTTTTGACTTTTTTTAAACAAGTTCTCTTTCATTTTGCTCTTAAGGAACTCAATCGGGCTGCCTATTTTTGTGCCCAAATGGCTCTTTTATATAGATTTTCCTTTGATACAGCTCTTGAATCATCAGAGCTTTTTTTCATCCTCTGCGATGATAGGGCGTCTTTTGCATAGATTTAAGGACCTATTTTTGTACTCCTTTTTAAGTTTAATGCCATATCTACACCTTCACAGAAGTTGCTGAGCAAAAGCTATGTGTCTGTTTGTATTGTATAACTTGCATTGCCGCAGTTTATGATAAAAAGATTTTTTTTCGATCGCATTGTTGTGTTATTTATAACATAACCACTTCAGATTGAATAACCCATGCATGAAAATAGAAATTACATTTAGAATCCTTAAAAAATCTTAAGTTTAAATATTACACCTAAAAACTGACACCTTACTAAACAGTGAGTAATATAACAATAAAAATTAAAAATAAAACTATTAAAAAAATAATTCATTTTATCATGATATTGAATTTGAAATGCAGATAATCAATTTAAAGAGATAGTTTATTCTCCAAAGAAACTCTCGACGTCTGATAACTATTTTAGGTGGAATCATCTAATTGATTTGCCCAACTGAAGAAGTCACAGTTCTCTACTTATCTATTTTCTGGACATCTGTAATGTTTTCTACAATAATCATACTCTTGTCATGAATTATGTAGAGAACACTACAATCTATAGTTGCAGTACAAGACTCTAAAGGCACAAGAGACCTCGAACTCATATTTTCTGAAGGTTTAAAACCACAAACTACAAACAATTACATGAAATATTAACTAACAAAAATAATATAAATATATTTAAAGATTTATAAAACTGTGAGGTCTCAAAGCAAAGGATAAATCGACGAATAATCTTGCACTTGTAAGAAGACAGAAGATTGTTACACCGCCTGTATGTGAACTGGTCCAGGAGGGACCAGTCCAACATCCTCCAACTGGCCAGGCGGGTCGGACACTTACACAGGGAGTCGAGCGGCGGGTTGCTGCGACAGAAAAAGGAAAGGAGAGGGGTGTTGTGACAGAAAAAGAAAGGTAGAAAAGGGGATCCACGAGGGTCTTAATCATATATTCAAGTAGGAGAAATTAAAGGAGTTTGAGAGGATGGCTTGGAAGGAAAGTTTTTAAAATGCCGAGGAAGAATTCTCCTGAAGGGAGGAACCTAAGGCTTGGTTTTTTATGCATATTTTGGTGTGGCTGCTATTTTATTTCTTCTTGTGGTGCTCCTAGCGACATCTAGGCTGTGGGAGAGTCGCTCTACCTTTCGAATAGTAGATCAACTTTGTATCTTGCTTATTTTCTTTGAATTTTGTAAGAGCAGCCCTTATTTGTGTTTCTTCCACCTATCTATTGTCATTTTTTGTGGTTTGTTCACTGATTTTGGTGTCGAGGCATATCAAATTGGTATCAGAGAGTTGATCTTGGTGGGATGGCGGCAAAGAAAGTGGATGTGCTAGAAGAGAGGTATGGCAAATTAGATCGGGAATGGAAGAGTGGTTTGCCACCATGGAGAACATGTTTACTTCCATTGAAAGTCGGATGGAGGATGGATTTGAGAACATAAAAGAAATGTGGGAGATGATGAAAAAATTCATGGAAATGAAAGCCAAGGCCCTGCCGATCGCTCCAGTTGCAAAGCCTAACCAAGGGTTGATCAAGGAATCCTTGGATAGGTCAAAAGGGAAGGAAATCGAGTGAGAAGACAACGAAGAAGACTTCATCCACCTACAATAGTGTCCCTCTAGGACTCTGAGAGAGGGGGAGTGGAGACTTTCAATGGAGGGGGGATGGGCTGAAAATTGGAGGGATGATGTAAGGGGCAAGGAAGAGCACGATGGAGGAATGAGGGATTTAGGAGTGAGATATGCTTATGACCAATGATGGAAGTTTCACCCTATAAGCATAAGTGGAAATACTAGAGGAAGAGGGGGTTGGATGGAGATGCAAGGGTCAGAAAACTGAAGATGCCAATCTTGGAAGGGGAGGATACGCATGGATGGGTGTATCGGGTGGAGCGATACTTTGCAATCAACGGGTTGACTGAGGAAGAGAAACTCATGACAGTGGAATTATGCTTGGAGAGGAAGGGTTTAGCGTGGCTCCAGTGGATGGAGGCAAGGTATCTAATGCACTCATAGGAGGAGTTTAAGGATTGCTTGTTGGAGCATTTCCGAGCCATTCGGGAAGGAGGCTTACATGAGCAACTATGCTCTGACTCAAGAGGGGTCGATTATAGATACCGAGAGAAGTTTGATATTTGTAAGTGAGTTTGAGGGGGATTTTGAGAGCAGTATTGGAAGGGAACTTCTTGAAAGGCTTAAAACCCGACATAAGAGCAGTCATCTGCCCCTTGAGACCGCGAGACTTAAGGAAAATGATGGAGCTCTTCCAGATGATGGAGGACAAGAAACAAGTGAAGATGACCGACAAAGGAAGCAACACCTGAGGATTCTATCGATCGAGAACTCTGACGGTGTCATTTTAGAAAGAGACGCTGAAAGGAGAAGAGTACAACACCTTATCATTGGGGAAATTTCAAGTACCTCACAGATGCAGAAGTGCAGGACAACAGAGCCAAAAGATTGTGTTTCCGTTGTGAGAAGAAATACGCCCTAGAACACCGTTGCAAGGAGCATGCCCTTCAGATTCTTTTGGTTCAGGAGGATGATATAAGGAGTGAGGAATCAAAAGGGGAAGCAGTGGAGGAGCATCTGAATTTAGATGTGGCAGAGGTGTCTCTCAATTCGGTGCTGGGATTCACCTCAAATCACACCATGAAAGTGAGGGGATGGATCGGAGAACAATTGATTGTGGTGTTGGTGGATAGCAAGGCCACACATAACTTTATCGCAAATCAGGTTGGGGAGAAGCTAGGGTTGAAGCTGGTGACTAAAGGGAGCTTCAACATCATGATGGGGATAGGGAAGGTAGAAGAATTTTCAAGGGGTTGGTTCTGACACTACATGATCTACAGGTGGCGAAAGACTTTCTTTAGATTTGGGCAGCACATATGTGATTTTAGGGATAAAGTGACTGCGAACATTGGAAGAGATGAAGGTGGACTAGAAGTTCTTGATGATAGAGTTTTAAGTGGAGGTTAGGAAGGTGGTGCTAAGTGGAGATGCTAGCTTGTACAAAACCATGGTGTCGCTCAAAACCATGGTCAAGTCGATTCGGGGAGTAGGACTAGGCTATTTGGTGGAGTTGCAGAAAATTGAGGAGATTCAAGATTCAAAGTTGACAGAGTTTCTGGAAGGGGTCCAACAACTCCCACAACAGTTTACGAATGTCTTTCAACAGCTTAACGGGTTACTAAGCCTAGTATGAGCCCTTTCTTCGGTAGCGAGGGGAAGATGCAGAACTTTGAGGGCAGTAAGTGGGAAGGGTTGTAGGTGGTCGACA